CCTGCCCGGGCCTGAACCTTCAGCCTCTCCTGGCGGGACACGCCCGCTCCCAGGCACAACCTTCAACACCCCCCCCGAAAACCCAAACACGGGAGGGTTGTTGCTATGTGCGGCGTGAGTGCGTCAGCTCCCTGCACAGACCACCCAAACAAAGCCAACTGGACCTCAGAGAAGGACGCATCCTTGACGTCCACATAAACAAACCGCTCCAGGGAGGACGTGCGCTGTGACATAATCCGCCCAGATCCAAATAAATATGAGGAATAATATTGGATTTAGCGGGTTTTTGTATATCCAGGCCGAGGAGGAAGTGGATTGGGGCTGTCCTCGTGTAACCGCACGGCTCTTTCTGCCTCTCCCTGTGTGGGCAAATCTGTTGTGTAATGCTGTAATTAGGCTAATGAAAGAAAGTTGAGTTTGAACTAATTTTCGGAGGAATTTGAGCTAATTTCCATCTTAATATGGATTACATAATCATAAGTTGCAGGGGTGCACCTCCCAACATGCCCTGCTTTTCATAAACAGCTGATTATACAACAGAAAAGACAAAGGAGGTAAATCATGGGGGGTTAACTGGGATTTACGAGATAGCTATGACTAAATGTACAGCCCTTTATGTCTTCAAGTCTCCCCTGATCCACCCTAAACGCATAAATACAGACTCCATTGAAAATAAGTTTGCTTAAAAAGCGGCCAAATACTTAAAAACAACCCGTGCGGCTGCCAAGAGAAGCAGGAGGATTCAAAGTCCCATTTCATAGCCTGGATTTAGGCTCCACATGTTCGGCCCTGCCGTTTCTGCTGCACATCTGTGCACGCTGACGCTCCGCATTAACGTGAGCAGCGCTGTGAGTCACAGAGCTGAGACGCAAACTCTACAGGGGTGGGAGGGAAAAAACGAGCGCATTCTGCCTCCAACACGGCACATATCTGGTCGGATAAACAACCGAGCGTATCGGAATCAGACGGAAACCTAAATACGTGTGCGCTTCCACGCAGGGGACGTTTATCCTGAGCCTAACCTTCTCCGGGGTCACGTCCCATTCACGTGGCTGCTTTTACATAACACTACTAGCGCTGTCAGTCTAAACTACTGCTGGGCAGGCTTGGATTACAACCCCCCCCCCCCCCACCCCGAAGGACACAAAGAGAAACAGTGTTGTGTGCTGACGACTTACAGCAGTGAATGTGTTGTTTGTCGTGGAGGTTTGAAGTATAACTGTGTTCCAGTAATTATCATACTTGCTGTAAGTGGCTCATGCTTGATTTACTGATCAAATAATACTTATTTTAACTAAATCTCTTGGTTGTTAGAATGATTTAGCGGTCATCATGACACCATTCTCGTAAATAAACTGCACATGTCGTTCTCAGGCACATTAACAAAAAAAAGAAAAAAAAAAGAAAAAGTATTTTTCATTCTTTGGACACGTTGCCAATAAGCACAACAGCTAATCAGTTCTTTTTAGCCATGAACTACTTATCATTTGCAGAGACTCCAGCGTGGACATTTTCTATTGCCCCTTCTTTCAGGAAAGAAAAGAGTCATATTAAAATGAATTACGATGCAGTAACAAGTGCAAATTTAGAGTTGAGCCACAAACGAAAATCGATGTTCTTTTAATGTGCTTGCTCAGTGACAAAAGGAGACTTTTTTGCTGGCATCTTCTTGATAAAATGGTGCCTCTTCATCATCAGGTGTCCAAACATGGACATTTGGTTCCAGGAAAAGTCTGCAGATTAAAAAAGGAGGACAGAAAAGGAAGAGGGAGCTAATCCCAACTGACAGGATTTGGTTCCTGAAAGCGCCTGTGCTCATCTCCCTGATCCATTCACAGGTTGACTTTAACTGTGTGTGCGTCTGCCTCCAATCAGACTAAGAGTTTCCCCTTTCTATATCGGTATCCACTGGTTTTAAACGAACAACCGAACGACAGACCTTTGTGGCGTAACAAGTCTGATACATTTTATGGAATGATTAGAAAAAGGTTCAAATGTCTGACTCCCCAAACGGCGTGTGGCACCTCAAAAATGGTGCCCAGACTGGAGAAAATCCCTAAAAACATCAGGGTGGGGAGCTGGAAGTAGGAAAAAAGACTGACGCAATATAAAAAAATCCAAAAGTGCCGACATCACACTGATCCAGTTAGTCGGTCATGCGTGAGTTTTACCCAATTAGTTGATGGTAAACAGACCCAGCGGCCTGGCTGCTGCGACCCGTAAACATATCTACGTGTTGCAACAGACAACAAAACACAGATTAATTTAGATCTCAATGGATGCGAACATCTAATGACTCCTGGCTGGCGTGCGGCTCTGAGGTGGGTTCAGGCGATTTTTTTCGGACACGTTCGAAGGGACTTCCTGTAGGAAACCCCCCCCCCACACACACTGGTAACATTTCAATAGCTAACCCCGTCAGATGGTAAAGAAATACAATATTTGGCTGGTTGGGAGCAGCTGGAAGCACAGATGGTAAACTTCACACTTGGGCTTGACTTGGAGGAGAATCTGGGAGAGACGTCGGCTTTAATTTACATCAGAACTTTGTCCTGAAAAGTCCCCGCAGCATTTCTTCCTTCCACACACACACACACACACACACAAGTTCAGAAAAATGCACACGCTTCATATTTTTGGTAGCGCTTTTTTTTTTTTTCTTTGGTGGAGGTAAAGCAGCTCACAATGGCCCCCCTCATTATCTTAATCGTGAGGTTATTTTTGCAGACTACAGGTTACATAACAGTATTCCAATAGGATTGTCCCTGGCACATGTCCCACTACTGATGTTCAATTTTAGCCTTTAGCCCTCTGTGCCAAAAGAGCGCGCCCCCTGGGACGCGCACACAGTCTTTTCCTATACAAGCCGGGGCCTGCTGGGGAGGAAAAAGTCCTCTGTAATTACAGCCGAGCATAAAAACCACACACGCAGACGATGCAGTCGTTCCTAACCGGTGTTTTTCTGTAGTGGGAGACAGGCCGCTCATTACAGGCCATCGCGCCGTGTTCGCTTTTCATTTTGTTTTCCCTTCTCTCTGCCTGCTGCAGCTAGGTGGTAACCATTCAGCGCCGGGGTGGACAAAAAAGAGAAAACAGAAAATCTACTTCTGAAGGACTGAAATGCAGACGAGGGCTTCCATGGAAACAATAGAGAGAATAGTTAACAGAAGGGAGGGAGGAATTCCAAAAATCCAACAGCATGAGGCTGGAGCAAAAAAACCCAGTGGAGGATGAATAAAGACAAACGGTTAAAAATGACCGAAAAGGACCAAACTAAACACAAACGGTGAAATCTGAAAGATGCAAATTACAGAGTGCAGGGGGAGAAATGCCTGAGGAGGGTCGGCGGGTCCTGGGGCTTGGCGGCGCAGAGGCCTGCCAGCCCCACGGCGGCAAACACACTCAAACAAAAGGATCATTTATCGGAGGAGGAAAAGGGGGAGGCGGAACAGAGGGATAAAGGAGGGGGGAACACTGTACAGAGGTATTTGAGAGTTGTGTGAGTGAAACACTGGCCCCATCTCAACATTCACAGCCAATGTGTAACATTCCCCCCCCCCCCCCCCCCCCCCCCACGCTGAGGTTCTCAGCAGCCAGAGCCCATATGGTCCCACTGTGGCAGCCTGCTAGCATTGCTATTTCAAAACGCCCTCCTGCTTCCACCGATGTGCCCACCGCTTCCCCATAAAAAAAAAACCCGCGCTGTGATGTATGGAAGCAGCTTCCATCTGAGGAATCTGCACAAAACCAACTGTGGAGCTCAGCTGAGCTGCGCTGGCCGCAAGTTCCCGGCACCAATTTCTGCTAATGCCTTCAATTCTTCATTAAATCCAGCTATGTAATGCTCACCACAGAAGCTAGAGGAGGGGGGGGGGGATGCTGGCTGAACTCCAACACAACCTACAGTGGGAAATGATACAGAAGCTGCAGAAACAACGCATTTGTCACCAGACCACCACGGTGGGAGATCATGGAGTCTTTTACTTTTAAACGGCACTTTATCTGCTTACACTGCAGGTTTCCATTGCTTAAAGGGTCAGGACGTGGTTAAAAGAGAATGATTTTCTGTGCGGAAACATCTCAAAGTGAGTTAGCTGAGGCATTGTTTAGCTGTGGTGCCCCCCACCATGGCTTAAAAGAAAACGATCCTCCGGCATCACTGACCTCTGTCTTTATAAACAGCTGCAGATATTTAGAGCTTAAAGCCTGGATTTTATTGCCGTTCTATTCGTTTTCCCTGAGAGAAGGAAGAAACTCAGTGTGATCTCAAATAAAAACTAAAATCTATAAATTACTGAAGTATCCTCAAATAATTCAATAGTATATCACATTTATTATCCTAAGTACTTATTTACTTAACTTCATATATTTCGGGATTTATTTCATAGTTTGAGTAATCAATTACAATCCATCAAGCAGCCAAAATGATCAGAAATCATCTGGCTGCTCACATTTTAAATACTTTTGGAAATTCATATTAAAAAATGACAAAAATAAATCAGCCCCCTTTCCTCTGCAGTCACTGAGGAGGCCTCATTCAGCCGATCACAGACCTTTAAGAGGATGTCCGTGCCCAGCTCTCCTTTTTGAACAACAGCTCGGCCAGAGCAGACTGATTTAGATGCCCGTCTCCAGATGCACCCTAAATAGTCAGGGAGGCGATCACTCTCTGGGTGGTTACAGGACAATCAGGACACCTCACGGGGATCAATAGAACTTCCAGAGGGCTAATCTTCTTCATCAATACTTCTACAGACCATCTGGCCTTTAACACATTAGCTAATCGCATCATATAAAAAGTGATCGCCCACCAGGGCCCAGACTATGAAATCAATTTGAGCCTCGCTGGAGGAGCCGAACTGTTTCTCATCCTGTGGATTAGGCAGCCGCACGTATCAGACAACTGTCTTCATTTTAAACTGGCGCCAGTTAAAGTTTGATCATAAGCCTGGATGGAGAGGATGCTGCGCTCCATTGGGTTATCGCGAAGGGATATTCTTTTATCTTTGATCACGAGGCAAAACATAAAGTGCAGGGGGAGAAAGCAAAGGGCAAACATCAGAGCAAAGACAAACGCTGACGCACAAAAGAGGGCGGAAACTCGTACCTGTTCCCTCCTTGTTTCCGTTCTGATGCGTCCGCAGCTCCTCGGACTTGTAGAAGTCGATGCTGGCGTAGGTGTTGAGGCTGGAGTTGCTGCCGCCGACGGCCACGCTCACCACGCCGACCCCGGGGCCGGCGCCCACGGCCGAGAAGAGCCGGGGCGGGGCCTGGCCCCCGGGGGGCCCGTCCGGGCCGGCGTGAGGAGCCTCTTTGTTGACCAGGTCCAGGTCGATGTAGTTGAGGCCGTGTTCGGCGGGCGCGGTTTGGCTGTTGGCGGGGGGCTCGGCCACGGCGCCGTTCCCCCAGAGCATGCTTTCGAAGGCCAGGCGGCGGGCCACCGTCTGCGCGTGCTCCGGAAAGAGGGAGGCTGTGGAGGAGGAGGAGGAGGAGGCGGCCGGGGTGGGGAGGGAGGGTGGGGCGAGGAAGGTCTCTGAGCAGTGTCGCCGGCGCCCCTGGGGGTCCGCCCGGATTACCTTGGCCCCCTGGTCGGGGTTGGGCGCCGCTTTGCCCATCGGGAAGTCCAGACCCCGAGACAGCAGGGAGGGGTCAGTCCTTGTGGGGGACGGGACTTTGGGCGACACGTTGGGTGACGTTCGCGGGACGGTGCTGTTGTTGTTCAAACTGAAGGCCATCTCTGTGTAGTCTCCGCAGGATGTGGGGGACTCGGACTCCGTCACTGACGGGTCCTTTTCCCGGCTTTTCCTGAGAGGGGCCTCGGCCGCTTCTGCAATGTCTTTGTGAGGACCGTTAGTACCGTCCGTACAGGATTTGGGGGCGTGAGCGAGAGTCGGAGGTGTGGGAGGGGTGTGGAAAGCTGGGAAAACTGACTGGGTGAGAGACAGCGGGGAGGGGGACGGAGAAGGGCCCAGATCCATGTTGACATACTCCGAGGCAGCTGGGGGAGTGATGGGGGCAGATGGACTACGGGAGAGCGGGATAAAGTTTCCGACACAAGAAGTCGGTCTGTTCTGAGGAAGCTGGCTATTTGAGCCGTGAGGCAGGGAAGAACCGTGTCTTAAACCCCTGCCGCGTCCTAGTCCAATCCCCATAAGGTTTAAATTCTCCCCCTTAAATTCAATGCTTACGTACTCCCCAGGACTCTTAGGTTCTGGAGGAAGCGGGTTCTCACGGACCCTCGGAAGGGTGTTAGCCTTGGATACGTCAACAAACAGGCTCACTGGTCTGCTTCTAGTGTGTCTACTTGGCTTAGAAAACCCACCAGAGCCCCGCCTCTGAGCCACCTTGCTCCCTTCTTTGGACTGAGATCCACTTTTTTTGCTCAAAGCCTGACTTCGATCGTCCACCTCCCCGAGACTCTCGCTGCTGGCTGAGCTGGACGAGTACGAGGACGAGGACAGCGAAAGGTGACGCCCAACCGCTGAACCGCCTGCTGCCGGTTGCTCCTGACACCCAGCGCTGGTTCGGACTCCTCCCGCTCCCCGACTACAGCTCCCACTGGGCTTCCTGCCTCGCCCGGGCCCGTCGTCAAAATGTCCGGCGGAAGGGTTGTGTTTGTACGACCGGGGAAGAGAATAGTACGAATAAACCATCTTGGGGGCTTGTTGTTGCAAGCCGGTCTCCAAGTGGCTGGTGGGCTCGGGAGGTGGGGGGCTGCCGTTTACAGAGCGAGCGCTGATTGGAGACATGTTCATGTAGTCGCTGCCAGCTCGGCTGTCTGCGCTACCACTGCCAACCCAGGCCCCCCCAGAGAGGCCCCCACGCTGGTCTGGGGAGCAGCTACTGTTTGGGGACATGATCATATACCCGTCAGAGGTTGGTAACGGACGGATCTGCTGAGGGGGGGACACGCTGTTGTTAGGGGTCATGGCCATGTAGTCGTCGGCAGGTTTGGGGTCCGAGTCTGGGACAGACACGGCCAGCGATTGGGATAAGGACGCCGGGGGCTGAGTGACTCCAGGCAGCATGGACATGTACCCATTGTCCACGCCTACATCTACACCACCACCCGTTCCTCCGGCCCCTTCGGTTTTGAACTCCACCGCCACGTCCAGGTACTCTCCTCCGCCCGCACAAGCACTCGCGGCCGATTCTCTCCCGGTAGAGCAGGCGGGATTTAAGGACTCTCGGCCCGTGCTGGACATAATGGCGTAATCGGCTGAGTCTTCCCCCGCGGGCTCATCGGCCCTGCGCTGACACGGGGCCAGTCTTTCCAGGGCCATAGGCGGCAAGGAGGCCCGCTTGCTCAGCAGCCTACGCTCAGTTTCACATTCACGGCTGGAGGAGCGACGCAGCACTCTCCTCGACTGGGAGCCCCCGGCCGGCGTTCCGGGCTGGGTGTTTGGCGTTGCGCTGCCTTGATTACTGTTTCCGGCACCGCGATGACCCATCAGGATATAGTTGGCTCCATCCTCACCGAGCGACTGGCTGCCGATGCTACCGACGGAGCTTCCAGGGAGGCTTGGGGAGGGGAGAAGGGTGTGATCCCCTGGGCTGGAACCATACTCATCTGAAGAACCGTAGTCACTGGGTGAGCCAGAGATGGAGGCATGGTGAGAGGGAACCCGACTGTAAGTACCTGAGCCCGGAACAGCACCGGCTGATGTTAGGCCACCAAACTCAGAGCCATGCCCAGAGCTAGACGACAGACTTGGAGCTGGGGAGGGTGCTGGGGTGGAGATGGAGCGCATCAACCCAAAGGGAGTTTTCGCCGTCGAAGTTGGAGCTGAACGGGCCGACTTGGATCGGAGGATCGGGGTGGTGGAGCAGGAGCCATTGGCGGAGGGGCTC